CCAGAGCGCGGCAGATCACGGAGCTCGGTTTCTTCACTTCCTGAAGCTTTAACTCTCTTAGCCCCGCGACCAACGGTGCTCCTATCGACTGCACAGCTTCCATACACAGCACACCAACGTTTATGAATGTTCACCACCGTTTCTTTTTCAGCAACAAGGAATTCAATTACAGCTCGTTGCTTGTACCGAGAGTCGTTCACAGACGCCATTTTAACAGTTCACTACAGCTCCGCTATCGGTTGGAATCATTTGAAACTCCGTACACGAACGCGGGAAACATCAAATCTCAAGCATGTAAAAGTACACTTTTCTATCTTCATTATTGGCTGAGAAAAAAAATGTGGGGCATTACTTAATGAGCGACCCTCGTATTTAAACAAATTAAGTAAAGCCTGGAGTTGAATAGTTATGGTTTCAGAGTATTACATCATTGTTTCTCAGCTTTATTTAACACAGTATCATAGAAAAAGATGTTTCTCTCTACGTCACTAATGTGACATTTGCACACTTCAAATTTCCTGACTGTGACTTGATTCCATATTTGTTCTGCTTCACATAAAGTTGTCAGTTTCTCACAGGTAGTCCATGCTATTGTCACTTGTTTTCCCAATTATTTCCAGAAGATATTTGACCATATAATTTATGTTTGTGTCATACACAAGTGGGTCCAGTTGTGAGTTAAGTTAATATGATGCATGCTATCTGCTGTGCTAAATTTTACAGTGTCACATTTCTCTGATGCGCTAAGAATATGAGCATTGTGCGTATGTGATGTTGCACACACACACACTCGGTGAATACGTGCTGTGTCATCTTGTTGCATGAATGAAGGTCTAAAGTTGGGTCAGTTACTTTTATGTAGTGCAGGTGCCACATAAGCTGCTGTGGATAATTGTGGTTGACCAATCAGCACTGAAAATGTGTTCCAAATTTGAAGTAGTTTTGCAGATAATGCTTTTATAGCAATGACTGTTCTGCAGCGGAATACAATGGCTTGTACAGCCTTAGCCTTTCCTGCTGCAAGAAAGGGGAAGTTTTTATCAATCATTTTATTTTGCCTAATTGCCAATACAGCTTGTGCAGACAATGTTGGCAAGTCTGCAGCTGGGGCTTACATATTAGCATGTGCAGCACTTTGTGCTACCCAAATTTAATCATGACAGGCATCTGGTTTTTTATGCCAGGATTTTATAAAAATGATATTCAAAAAATTAATTTCTTTGGCATAGTGTGTGTATTCTCTGACAGCATGACAATGATGTTGGGCAGTTTTGTTTTGTGATACTTTACATACATCAGTCAGTCAGTCCTTGCTTATTTCAAATAACATAACCAAGGGGTTGAGAATTATTTAATTTTTAAATTGTGTTTAAGATGTATTACTAAATAGTTTACGAAAAAATATTTTTATTCTTGCAGGTGTTAAACGTTTTCGCACATTCGGCATGATGAAGTACCTCAAGAATCATTTTATTGATTAACTCTTTTCAGATTTAAGAGTTCTGGATGTGAATGAATGGCCAAAACAGAGTAAGACTTTTTTCTTTTCTTGGTTGAGAGTCATCACATGTCAAAATTTGAGCAGTGTTAATGCTGTTTGAGTGGGAATTTGTCTTTTTTCTTTAACTATTATAAATATTGTGCAGTGTCCCACTGTAGTATGTGACAAAGCTTTGGCCAAAACTGTTCACAAAAATAACATCCACATTAATGAGTTTGGAAAGTTTAGACATTTTTTTAATTTTTATTTTTGAGAAGAGTTACTGTGTTTTTAAGTGTTTGCACAATATATTTTCTAAGTATTATGGGAAGTGGAAATCTCTACAATAGGCAGCCATAATTACATCTTTTTTCAATGTACAACACTTGTAAGTTGGTATGTGTCAGAACTGTGAAAATGGCAAAGCAATTTTTTTTACCTTCTCTCTGTATTTGTATCTGTAATAACAGAAATGAAGAAATACAAAGTTTTTTTATTTTAATGTATTTCTGAAACTGAAATGTATATTGTTTTCTTTATTTTCGTGGTACAGCAAATATTTGGAGTTGTACAAATCCATCCCAAACTTCAAAAAAAAATTTCCTTGTCATGTTTGCAATCCTACAATGTATTGAGAATAATAAGAAAAATAGAATGGTGAATTTTGTTGGACATTTATGTTTTTTGTTATAATACCCTATGTTCCCACGATGTACCAAATGGCAGGGATGATTTACTCATTCAATATAACCTTGTATCTTATACTGCTTATTTTATAAAGAATGATAATAATTTTTGTTAGCTGTCTATATGTAGAGCTCTCTGCAGTAATGGAAATTGTGGATGAACAGATACACCTACAGGGATGTACAACCATTCATTTGAAGTCTGAGGTTGCCCTGGTGTCTAGAAAAATAAAAGTTTTATCAGATTTATGAAAGCTACAAAATTACATAATTTTATGTTATTGTTGATCCTTGAGACGTACGAATCTGTTTTATGGTGGCGATATATAGACAAAAACTGCATGTGTTCATTTTTTCATGAAGATGATAAAACATACATGACCAAGCTGTGTTTGTGACTTGATAGTTTTAAATATGTTCAGCAACAAAATAATATGATCGGTTGTGGTGTGTCACCTTGATAGTACTAGGTATTAAAGCGTCATGTTACATGTTACTTTGACTATGCTGAAAAATGTTTCCTTTGTCTTTGCAGTCTACAGAATGTACACTTAAAATTTTAACTTGTCCATCAAGAGTGTTCATTGCTTCTTTACTGATGTGGTGGATGTCATTTTTATATGGGCATAAAATTAATTTATTAATGTAACATGTAGAATCAGTTATAGTTAGATATTCTCCAGGCATGTCTAGAATTAGTGAGACACTGCTTTTAAGTTCTGGAATATCAATATAGTTTATAATAACAAATCTCTAAACTTAGACTAGGTAGGTTTTCCTGTTCGTGCATCGTAATTCGAGACATTGATCGATCAATTGATTTTTGAGGAAATCAAGTGAGAAGATAGAAAGGTATGGACATTGATACAGGAGAGAGGATAAAGAATGAAGAAGCAGTTGTCATAAGATGATCCATCCTGGAAGAAACATCAGCAGATGATAATGGTGTTTATTGGTTTGAAGGGTATTCAGTGATTGCCCCTAAGGCCAGAAACATACAGGAGTTACAAAAGGCTATGTTGAAATGTATTTCCTTGAATTATGGTAGTAAAACAGTTTACATTATTTGTCTAATTGTATTTACTGTTAAAATGTGTGGTAGGTAACATGTAACATTGCTGTATTAGACACTAACTTTGAATGAGATGTATGAAGAGGTAGGTTAGGAAGGAGCCATACTTTTTGTTGTCTGGAAGGTTATTGACAAAACTGCCACAGTGCTGCTTGTGGTCAGGATTTTAACTGGTACCCCTCTGATACTAAGAATATGACTACTGTGCCACAACTTTCAGGCAGTTTTCCGTGTGAAAGGTTCTAGGCATCTGCTAGAAGATAATTAACATGATGGAGTTAATAATCTGTTTGGTACTAAGTGACTAAATAAGCTTAATATATAATAATAAATGCCCAAAAACATGTAACTTAGTCTATCATTTTCAGCATTAGTTTTATGTGTAGTAAAAACAATACAGTTTATAATGAAAATTCATAACTTTATATTATTCATTTTAAAAGAACTGCATTTGAGTCATCTGCATACAGTAATTCCAGGTTCTTGAAATGAATGAATAATTAGAAATACATTTTTAGTGGAAAAAAAGCTGTCTCCTATAATGCTTGCAAATAAATTGTTTATACAGGAATTTAGTTTTCAACATTTTAAATAATGAATATGCTGTTTAAGTTAACAATTGTTTTAAACTTTTCAGATTTAACATAGCATCACTCTCTTCTACCGTTATTCATGAGCAGGTCTAGTGTCGGCATTGGGATGTTAGATATTCTGTCCTGTATTGTTTGGACCTCTTGATTCTTTGATGGTTTTGTTTGTAAACTAGTGCTCATCTTGTGGCAGCTGTGTTCAGTTTGCACCGATTTTGTCTTGCTCTTCCGTATGTTTGCCTGTTGACATAAAAGTGCAGTGTTGTCAGGTGTGGCAGCTCTTACCTTACAGGTTTATTATCTGTTCAAATAGAGTGTAAAAGTAAAGTAAATCTGTCCCACATTTTGCCATGTAGGCACTTGGGGGGGGGGGGGGATAGCTCCTACTCATTCTTGACCTTGTTACTAGAAGGGAGTGAGTGGTCAGCATCACACCCCAGCTGTGCTTTATCCCCTCTAAAGGACCCCAGTCATCCAGTCTGTAGCCAGTCACTATACTGACTGAGCTATGCCAGCTCATCAAATAGAGTGTAATGTCTTTTTTATTAAAATTTACCTACCCATGCTTATGAACTACTTCAACAATGCTGTTTTATGGCTGCAATTTATTCACCTGTTATAACTAGTGACAATTCTTGTCTGCTATTTGCATGTCCATATTACACATTGCTACACAGTGTTATTTAGCAGGTTAGCTCAGAGTAAAGTTGTATTTGTTTTGAAGCTTGGCATGTTTTGGAGTTACCTATAGTTTCCATCTGTTGAATGCTAGAGTAACTTCTAACTTCTGAACATAATTGTGATAAAAATTATATATCTTCTTTACTTGATATAGCAATCATTAAGTAGCTCCCCCCCATTTCTTGAGGGAAACTGAACCAGTAAAAGAACTTGTGATTCACATAGTTTTTCACTCACAAGTTTTATTGCTTCCCTTTTGAGATCCCATTCATTCCAGCGATATAATGGGTCAGTGTGGCTTGGGATTGGATGTAATTCAGTTTGTATCTCAATGTCACGTTTACTTATGGGTTCAGGTTTCTTGATGGGTAATCTGAAATAGTATAATGCACATTATGGTTAAAGACATTCCTGTTGTCGTCCTGTGTGAACTGACTCATACTGACCTGACAGAACCTCTTAGGAAAAATGTGTACTAGGAGCTGGAATAGTTTTCTGCCTTGCAGTGTTTGTGTTGTGTTCTGATGCCATAGGAAGAGGCAATAAAAGTAAATTTCTGGGACTGTGCCCTCACTTCTCTCTCTCTCTCTCTCTCTCTCTCTCCTGGCTCTACAGTTCTTGGAGACCCTAGACAGCTTGATATTGGTTAGATTTTGAAACTCTGTTTCTTGACATTTGGCAGGACAGTCAAACCAACAGGTAATTAATTACTCAGTTTTGAGAAATCATCCTAAAGATTGTATTATATTACATGTTATTTTCTTTCACTGTTATGTCGGGTTCATGACATCTCAGTGAAATGGACTTACTCTCCCGCCATCCGCATAGCTGCCACCTGTTCTTGCAATTGCAGGAGGTTGATGAGTTCCGGCTTCTTTCTCATCAGATTCAGTACTGACATAACATACCTGTTTAAAAAATGTATTAATTGCTAGATTTATTGTCAGTAATGCTTGTAATAATATGGTAAATGACAGAATGGTGAATGGATTGTTAAAATAGGATAAATTTGTATGTGACATATTTTACATCTGACAGAGGGCTGTGCTCTGTCCATTGACAAGTTAGCCCGTTGTAGGACTGAAGCTGGTATGTGAAGTATTTTAAAACGAACTGTAAAGGCAGGGTGATCAAATTTTGGATGTACCATGTTTAAGACTTGTGCAGATGTATTCTAGCATTATGTGGGATTATGTAAGGAAGTATGTAGTTTTTTCCTGTCACACACAACAAAGCTTTTTTTATTATTTCATCATGCATTTATTATAATTATAGTATCTGTATGCTAAATAATAATTTTGTCCATCTTTCACTTTAAAGTAAAACTTTGTCAATACAAAGCCTCTACCAGCTATAGGTTCCCTCTGCTAGAAACCATTTTTGTCATCAGCCTGTAAATGCTCATATCTCAGAACTGGATTCTTTCATTTTTCACAAGCAGATTCGTAGATGAGAAGGTCAGAAGACAAGAATGAAAAGTAAGAAATGTTGGAGCAGTGGTGGCAAGGTGAAGGTTTTCATCTTTCAACACTTTCTTGGTGTTCTCACACTGAAGCATGAGTGAAGAACACCTCATGAATATCCAACTTTTTTGCAATAATCTTACCGGAGGTCCTGTTGAAACACACTCTACTATTTTGGAGCAATGGTGCTTTGATCACAGTGCAACAATGAACTACCTGATGTGCGAAGAACGCCTTTGGAATGTGTGTATTCCACAGAGTACAACTTTCCAGTTTTGTTTAATTAGTTATTTATAGTCTACTTATTTTACACTCTTACATCTGCTCTTACATAAAATTATTCACAATTTCCTTCGAATAGCTGATAACATGAATAATATTGGCTGAAATATATTACACAAGAGGGAAAGCATGTTACACCACTTTCAGGCATGAATAAATTACAATAACATCTCATACAACAATACAAGAAGGAATTGGAGGTCAAACATAAAAGAAGCTGTGGTAGATTTCACAAAGTAATACAGCCCAGAGGAATATGCTAAGGAATACTTGTACGTAAAAGTATAGTCAGTCCAGCTGAACATGTGTAGCAGTAGGATACTGGCTAAACTGTTAACCCTGTAATTTAAAGACTGGCTGGCAGCCCCATAGTACAGGTATTTAACTACTTTATTCCCATCTGATGGAGATTAATTACCATTACTAGACATTACATTAGAAAGGTAATGATTAAGCATAATTAACAAGCGTATGTAGTTCATAACACTTACTTTTCAGGATCTTGTCCAAACTCTGCTGCCATGGCAGGAGAAGACATTGCGTAGTAGTTTTCTTTCCACTGGCACACTCCCATGTTGGGATTCCCAGGTATCAGTGCACCCACACCTTCCACCAGTGACCAGACACAGAAGCCCAAGTACTGAATCCAGCACACATAAAGGAAGTATCATACTCACAGGTTGTTAGGATCCAAGATGTGAAACACCAAGCCAGAATTAGTATATCAACATGAACTTCATAGCTTCCATTTGGACTACATTACTTACAGCAAAAGAACAGTATAAATGTATTTTTCTCTACTTTTTATCAGAGGTACAATGATCACTATCCTTACAACATACGTGAAAGGCTATTGAGATAAATTATTGTGATAGGTCCCAACTTTCCATCCAATATACGAATGTCCCACAGTTTTGTGTCTGAAGTCTGTTCGTACTGCTTTAAGGATCTGCTACATGCGTATGAATAGCAGCTACAGAGTATTGTAGATTTTATTCAAGTGACAGAGGTTTTAGGGGCAAAACTAAGTGTGATGTGCGTAAAATAAACTTGGAATTCATTTTTAAATTAGGAGAATAAAACTCATCTATGTTAAGTTTAGAAAATTTTGTTTCTGTGTTAAGTTTAAAAGTATGTTTTGAAACTTTGTCTATGCATCTCTGATGAAAGAAAAAAGCTTCACGGTAATTCTAAGCAAAATGCCTACAGAGATAAGTGAAAAGAGGCATTGAGAAAATATGTAATGAGGAGCTTAATAGTTTATTCACTATCAGTAAAATTATGACAAAGGTTGAAGTGGCTGGACATTTATGGCAGATTAACGGATTGGGGGGAAATGTGTTATATTTCGTCTGAATTGTACTTATTCCGAGCAGGATCCAATGGGGGACATTTGTAATGCTTACAAACATTGGAGTTCCATAATAAAATTAAATTTCTTGATAGCTGGATATTGATATATTACTTTTTTACAGGGAGTAAGCTAGCTAGATGTATGAAACTTTAATTTTATCAGGCTGCCTATAAGTTGATAATTTCACTGCAGAAGAGGTTGAATGTGTTAGTAGATAGCCAAATAGGTTTTGACAGCTACTAATAGAGTAAGCCACAGAATACTCACTTGCAGTGGTATTTTGTCAAATTCTGTCACCTGTGCTGGGTATATGACTTCGCACTTCAATCCAGTCGAGTTAATCTTGAGGCCTGTGGTTGCTTTAAGACGAGCTTCATCAGTGAGGATCTCCGTATTACCAATAATTTGTTTCACAACACCTTCATCAATGTTTTCGAGCACCTGCACATTGTGGTCATTAGTAATATGGATTCTGTTCTGCAGACTAATATAAAACTATAGATAATTGTAATGTGACTTTCAGCTATAAATAGACTCTCCAAGATAATGGCAGGAATGAACTAGGATAACAGAGAGAGATTCAGTTACACTTTGTAAGAAGGGAATGGAGATGGCACAGTAGCTACAATGCAGCAAATTTATAAGACCTTGCAAAATATATTAGTTATAACCTCTTTGATTTAAGAACAATCTTAGTACTAGGAAAAATAACATAATCACAACTGTAATTCTATTTCTAATTATGTAATCTTAGGACTTAATATTTTCCTTGATACTTTGTTTTCAAATATATGCAGTATATGAAGAAGGGTAAAGGTCATGTTCTCAGCCATATAGCATAACAGATGAATAATATTACCTTGTGTCCTAATGTTTAATGAATACCAAAGTACACAGGTCAGTAGCAGGTATTTGAACAGAATATTAACAGTTTTATGTTGAAGCCTATTTTATTACATTGTATGTTCTTTTTTTTAAACTAAAGTAAATGCTGCAATTATAGGCATGTAAGCATTGTTTTGTATGGAAGTGAAACTTAATGTAATTCTAATGGAAATGCAGAGGAGAATATATTGATTAAGGCAGATGTACACGTAAGGTAATGGAAGACCCTTCTTAAATTATGTACTGTTTAGGTCATACTTATATCGTGATTAAATGAAGGATACTGAAATGAGTAGAACATATAATAGAAATATACTAGAAATTACAAAATATTTTTGTGTTGATACCCTCTTGGTCAAGTGAATGACATTTCATTATAGTATTAAAGTGGATCTTAGGAAATTACTTTGTATCAATATAAACTGCATTGATCTAAATATGTCTAGTGGTGGACTGTTATAATGATTATGAAGCATCAAACTTCATAACATGACTTATCT